TCCCCATTGTAGAAAGAGGGTTTAGAAGTGATTCCTCATTCACAGAGGTGAGTGTTGTCACCCTCAGAAACCTCTCCTTGTTTCCCTTGCAGATGGCTGACCATACCGAAGTCATGCAAGGAATCACCCAGCTGCCTGGTGTGAGTTACCCTGTGCTCACCCCGAACCTGAAGGGATTCCAGGCTGCGGTAAGAGGTGGCAGCGTCAGGATGTTCCCAGTGTTCCCAGGCTGTGGTTAAGGATGGGAACTCTATCTTCCACCCCATGGGCAGCAATCTCATCCTGTAGCTTCTTTCCAAGGGATCATTTTGCTGGGGGAGTAAGGATCTGTTGTTTGGAAGTAAAGGATTTTAAGGTCCTTTCCAAGCCTAACTATTAATGAGTTTATAACAGAAAAGACCTCCAAACATCTTCTATTGTTAAAAAGGCACCTGTTTGAATTGGCAGTGGTACTGTCAGTCTTACCTACACGTCCCGCAGCTCTCCTGACTGCACCAAGCTTCACTGCTGACTCTATAATCTTACACTTCTTTGGTGTGAGACTTGGATCTCATCATGGTTCTGCTGTGAAATGAGCTGAGGAAAGAATTGGGTTATTCAGGAGGAAAGTGGGGGAGAAGCCTTTCTGATAGAATGGGAGCACCGCGGTTGTGTTTGTCATTCCCCTTGCAAGAGAAATCAGCTCGCTTGAAGTTGTGCTTTCTGCTGGCAGGTGGCAGCAGGAGCCAAAGAAGTGTCCATCTTTGGGGCAGCATCTGAGCTCTTCACCCAGAAGAACATCAACTGCTCCATAGACGAGAGTCTGGAGCGGTTCAGTGAAGTGACGGCAGCAGCGAGAGCAGCCAGCGTTCCTGTCCGTGGGTGAGGGATTCCTGCTGCAGACAGAGATGTAACTGCCCCATTCCTCCCTGTGGAGCTGGCCTGCGCAGTGCCTGGGGATTGCTTTTCAGCTTTACCTGCTTTTGGGGGGTGTCTCTCTACTGGGATGGGTGCAGGGCATGCAAGCTCAGTGCATGGAGAAGCATTAGTGTGGGAGCAGTCACATAACACCCTGACTTTTGGAATAGGAAATGAATTCTTCCATTGTATGGAGCACATAAGGTGCAGCACAAGCCCTGCCTGACCTGGCCAGTACGATCTCACTGCAGTTCTCTAGCTAAGGGTGTATTTTTTAACCACAGATACGTTTCCTGTGTCCTTGGCTGTCCCTACGAGGGGAAGATTTCTGCAGCTAAAGTTGCAGAGGTGAGTTCATCAGCTGGGTAGGTTTTGTCTCGCTTTTATGGGCATGACTTGGACACTGAGGGTTAAATGGTGTCCAGCCATTGAACTGGACTGAGGGGAGACTGGGGAAGGTTACAGGGAGCTGCCACCATGGTGGGGAGAGCTGAATGTAGCTGGAATGGATGGGAATTCAGGGAGCTGTGGGGACCTGGAGATGTTTGATCCTGGAGATGAGTCCCTGTGGTGCTGCATTCCAGGGAAGTGTGCACTGATCCCTGTGTACAGCCAGTGTCCAGCTTTGGGGAATGGGATGGCCAAGCTGCCTTCTCAGTAAACACCTTGGCTTCTGGACAGGTCTCGAAGAAGATGTACGCAATGGGATGCTACGAGATTTCCCTCGGTGACACCATTGGCATTGGGACCCCGGGGAGCATGAAGGAGATGCTGACAGCTGTCATGAAGGAGCTGCCAGTTGGGGCTCTGGCTGTTCACTGCCACGATACCTACGGGCAGGCTCTTGCCAACATCTTGGTAGCACTTCAGGTAAGATCCTTGCTTTGGAGCGTTGCATCTTTCCTTGTTTATTTGGGGCTTGGTTTTGTGCTTGCTGTAAACTGTGGATTAGAGGGGCAGGATGAGGCACAGTTCATTGTTTAAGGGTTTACTGATGGTGGGGTCGTTTGCAGATGGGTGTGAGCGTGGTTGATGCTTCCGTCGCTGGCCTTGGAGGCTGCCCCTATGCCCAAGGGGCATCTGGAAACGTTGCCACGGAGGACTTGGTGTACATGCTGCACGGGCTGGGCATCCACACGGTAAGCACCAGCCTGCAGCAGCTGAGCCCCTCGCACCGTGGCTCTGCTCGGGCTTCAGCAGGGGTGCAGAATGTGACCCAGGGAGCCTGAGCGAAGCGGGTAGAGCTATGGGGGATCCCTCTGGGTCTGGTGAGGGCTTTCTTGTGCCATGCCAAGCCCACTCCTCCGCCCTTTTCCAGCGCATTTGATTTCACCCTCGCTGTCTGAGTCACACCAGTGAGCAGCAGGCACCCAGGGCCTTGTGCAAGCACCCACTGGGGCCCCTTCACCCCTGCTAGTCTGTTACGGGGCAGTGTGACTGGCAGAGCTGGTGCTGAGGCATGTCCTGTCTTTCTTCCCATAAAGGGTGTGGATCTGCAGAAGCTGATGGACGCGGGCACGTTTATTTGCAATGCTCTCAATAGGCGAACCAATTCCAAAGTGTCCCAGGCCTGTTGCAGACTGTGATACCACATGGAGTTTCTCCTTGGATCAAGAAGAAAGCAAGGATCTAGGCTGGTTGGGTTTCCCTTCTGATCATCGGTGCCCTTTCCAGACTCAGTGCTTGGGAGGAAATGCATAATCCATCAGAATCAGTGATGAAATGAGAAGAAACAAACCCCAGGACTACTGTGTGCAACCTTGATGCCATCAGCCATCTGCCTTAGGGAAGGGAGGATGTGATGCGCTGAGGGAGAAGTAGCAGCCACAACCCTTGCCTGGGAGCTGTGGTCTCCAGCACCAGCTCAGAACAGGGTCTGGTAACTTCTGCCTTGAGAGGGTGTTACCATCATGCTACCAGCAGGGGATAAAGCACAGCTTTTACCATTAGAGCCAGTCTCCAGGTCAGGCTTGAGCTCTATCCCCTTCTCTCTCCTCACTACAGATGCTAAGGCTGAAACCGAAGGACTCCCTTTCCTCATTCAAGTGCCAGGGGCAGCCTTGGACCTTCTGCCTTAGTGTTTAGGGGTTGTCATAATGGGCTGTATCTGTTGTAAGGTACTTCTAACTACCAGGAGTAATGAACACGTTATTTAATATTCTAAACTATTAGAAATTGAGTTGAATTAAATGAGCTAAAGAGCTTTTGCTGCTGGTTTGGTGCTTTTTCCATTCACCCTGGGCTGGGGCAGTGTGGAACACACGTGTTCTGCACACACGTGTGTGTTCTGTGCACGTGTGTGTTCTGTGCACACATGTGTTATGTGCACACGTGTTCTGTGCACGTGTGTGTTCTACGCACGTGTGGATTCTGTGTATGCCTGTGTGTTCTGTGCACACGTATGTTCTGTGCATATGTGTATGTGCTGCGCACATGTGTTCTGTGTATATTCTGTGCACATGTATGTGTTCTATGCACACCCTTGTTCTGTGCACACCTGTACTGTGCACATGTGTGTTCTGTGCACACCTGTGTGTTCTGTGCACACCTGTGTGTTCTATGCACACGCTTGTTCTGTGCACACCTGTACTGTGCACCTGTGTGTTCTGTGCACACCTGTGTGTTCTGTGCACACGCGTATTCTATGCACATACGTGTTCTGTGCACACACATGCTGTATGCACACACGTGTTCTGTGCGCAAACATGTTCTGTGCACACGTGTTCTATGCACGTGCGTGTTCTGTGCACACGCATGTTCTGTGCACACACATGCTGTATGCACACACGTGTTCTGTGCGCAAACATGTTCTGTGCACACACATGCTCTATGCACACGCGTGTTCTGTGCCCACACGTGTGTTCGTGCTCTGCTGGCCCCGCCCCCTACCTCCTCTGAGCCAATCACCACCCCTCACTACACCCACCCCACCCCCGCGCATGCGCGCTCCGTGTCTCTCATGTCCCCTTTGCCGCCCCGTAGCGCCGGTGACACGTTTCCATGGGAGAGCGGCGCGCGTGGCACCGGCGGGGCGGGGCTCGCGGCCGGGCCTTAAAGGGGCCGCACCGGGCGCGGGGGCAGAACCGGAGCGGGGGCGGTGGCGGCGTGAGGGGAACCGCGCTGCCGGGCCCGGCCCTCCTGCAGCAGGGACCCGAGACCCTGGGCCCCTGAGGTGAGTGCAGCCCTGAGCTGCGGGCCCGGCCCCGCGTTTGGGTCTCGGTGCGGCTCCGGCAGGGATTGGAGCCATCACCCGGTGATAACGGGGGCTCGCTTCTTTAGGGGGCCTATAGGGATGCTGGGGAGGGACTCTTCCTTAGGGACTGTAGTGACAGGACAAGGGGTAATGGGTTAAAACTGAAACAGGGGAAGTTTAGATTGGCTATAAGGAAGAAGTTCTTTACTGTAAGGGTGCTGAGGCACTGGAATGGGTTGCCCAGGGAAGCTGTGAATGCTCCATCCCTGGCAGTGTTCAAGGCCAGGTTGGACAGAGCCTTGGGTGAGATGGTTTAGTGTGAGGTGTCCCTGCCCATGGCAGGGGGTTGGAACTGGATGATCTTAAGGTCCTTTCCAACCCAAACTATTCCATGATTCTCTGATTCTTGCCTGGGGCCTCGAGTCCCGGTTCCTACCCTGCTCACGCCGTGCCCCTGTGCTCTGCAGGGACCCGCTGCCACCGTCCTGGGAGCCTGGGGTTGGGCTGGAGCCGGCGCTGGGACGGGAGGGTGTGGAGGCCCGGTGGGAAAAGGGGGATTTGAGTGGGAAGGGGCAGAGGTGGCACCCCCGAGCACAGCCCCCCCATGGCCGCTGTGGGACGGGTCCTGCCCCTTGCGCTTTGGGCTGGATCCCGAGGGATTTGTGCTGCAGGACGCGGGGCCTGCAGGATCCCGCCTGGAATTAACAAGGAAGAGCGAGGGTTTTCCCCGGTACGTGACACGTGTCAGCCGCGCCCTGCCTGTGCGGGAGGAGTGAGCGGTGCCGCACGGTGCGCTCCTGCCCTGCCCTGCCCTGTCCGGATGTCCTGGTGCAGGCAGGGCTGATGCGGCGCTGCCCTCGTCCCTTCCCCAACCAAGGGCTTCGTGTCCCCCCTCTCCTCCACTGAAGGGCCCTCCCTCCCCAGGGAACCATGGCAGAGAAGATCCTGGTGACCGGTGGCGCTGGCTACATCGGCAGCCACTGTGTGCTGGAGCTGGTGCAGGCTGGCTACGTCCCCGTGGTCATAGACAACTTCCACAACGCCATCCGAGGTACCGAGCGCTTTCCTCCCATCCCATCCCATCCCATCCCATCCCATCCCATCCCATCCCATCCCATGCCAGGGGCTCGGTCCCTCTCTGCCTGTGCTGGGGGTGTTCCAGCTACCCCAGCGCCTCGCTCCATTCCCTGTCCCCAGGGGCAGATGCGCTCCCCGAGAGCCTGCGGCGCGTGCAGCAGCTCCTGCGCCAGCCCATCCTCTTCCAGGAGATGGACATCACCGATGGGGCAGCGCTGCAGGAGCTCTTCAGCAAGGTGAGAGCAAGAGCCCCAAGGAGGGCTCTGAGGGGTTTGTGCCGGGGCTGGGAGGCTGGAGCTGGGCAGGGAAGAGAGCGCTGGGGAGATGCTGTGAGCAGCAAACGCTCCTCCTGGCCATGGAGAGGACAAGGGCTGGCTGGGGAGGCTTGTGGCTGCTTTCTGCCCAGAGCTCCAGCCTCCTGCTAACACCAAGCTCTTTGTCCCTCGGCAGCACCGCTTCTCGGCCGTGATGCACTTTGCGGGGCTGAAGGCAGTGGGAGAGTCAGTGCAGAAGCCCCTGGAGTACTACAGAGTGAACCTCACCGGGACCATCCGGCTGCTGGAGGTGCGTGGAGCCAGGAGGCAGTGGTTGGGGCTGTTCAGCCTGGAGAAGAGAAGCTGCGTGGAGACCTCAGAGCAGCTTCCAGTGTCTGAAGGGGGCATATAGGGGATGGACTCTTCATTAGGGACTGTAGTGACAGGACAAGGGGTAATGGGTTAAAACTGAAACAGGGGAAGTTTAGATTGGATATAAGGAAGAAGTTCTTTGCTGTTAGGGTGCTGAGGCACTGGAATGGGTTGCCCAGGGAAGCTGTGAATGCTCCATCCCTGGTGGTGTTCAAGGCCAGGTTGGACAGAGCCTTGGGTGACCTGGTTTAGTGTGAGGTGTCCCTGCCCATGGCAGGGGGTTGGAACTGGATGATCTGAAGGTCCTTTCCAACCCTGACTGTTCTATGGTTCTACATGGTGCTGGGTGCAATCCTGCTTGGGAGCAGCAGAGGGGCTGAGCCAGGGTCCAGAGCTCACTGGCTCAGTGGTGGCTGCTCCCTGCTCCTCAGGCCATGAAAGCCCACGGCGTGAGGAACCTGGTGTTCAGCAGCTCTGCCACCGTCTACGGAGACCCCAGGTACCTGCCCCTGGATGAGAAGCACCCAGCTGGAGGCTGCACCAACCCCTATGGCAAATCCAAGTACTTCATCGAGGAGATGATTCGAGATCTCTGCACAGCAGAGAAGGTGCGGAGCTGCCCCTGGGTGCGCAGGGCTGGGAGCTGAGCTCTTTGCCCACTGGAGCACAGTGGGGTGACCAGGCACAGTGGGATGGATGTGTCTCCCCAGGATGTATCCCTCCTGTCTATCTCTCTCCCTAGGACTGGAACGCCATTCTCCTGCGCTATTTCAACCCCATTGGTGCCCATGAATCAGGCCTGATTGGGGAAGATCCTCAAGGGATTCCCAACAACCTCATGCCCTACGTGGCGCAGGTACTGCCCCGCTGTAGCCGTCAGGGACCCCCTGGCTCATGGTGCTGACCATGAGGCTGATGGAGCTCTCCTGCTCTTGTCCCTGCGTGCAGGTGGCTGTGGGGCGCCGGGAGTTCCTGAACGTATTTGGGAATGACTACAGTACAGATGATGGAACGGGTATGGATGGAGCAGAGAGGCCCCAGCAGCTCTCTGCCCAGCCTGGCTGCACCCCTTTGGGCAGGAGAGCGTTGCCCTCACCCTCTGCATCCCTGCAGGCGTCAGGGATTACATCCACGTGGTGGACTTGGCCAAGGGCCACATCGCTGCTTTGAAGAAGCTCAAGGAGAACTGCGGCTGCAAGGTACCGGGGGCGGTCAGGGCTGCGGGGCTGGGTCCTGGGGTGTTAAAATGGGGCCTGGCCCTTGTCCCCTTGCACAAGCAGCTGCCCCATGTCTTCACCTCCTTCCAGATCTACAATCTGGGCACAGGCACCGGCTACTCTGTCCTGCAGATGGTCCAGGCCATGGAGAGAGCCTCAGGGAGGGAGGTAAGATCTGACCTGCACCTGCAGGGCCATGGCAGCCCCTGGCACCGCTCCCTCAGCTCCTGGGGCTCGGATCCATCCCCTCCACTGAGCCCTTGGTGCTGCTCTCGCTGCAGATCAGGTACAGGATCACAGCCCGGCGTGAAGGGGATGTGGCCTCCTGCTATGCTGACCCCACGCTGGCTGAGCGCGAGCTGGGCTGGAAAGCTGCCTTTGGCCTGGACAAGATGTGTAAGAGCATCCCCAGCCCCTTCCTGCCCTGTGCCCGTGGCTGCTCCTCTCCTGCCCCCCCTGACCCTGGCTCTCCCTGTTGCAGGTGAGGACCTGTGGCGGTGGCAGCTGCAGAATCCCACAGGCTTCAGCAAGAACTGAGCCATGGCCCCGGGGCTGCTCCCCAGTGAGGCTGTGATCACCCTGGGGGCGTGGGGCAGCCCCAGCCTCTCCACTCCTTCCTCATCCTCCCCACTCCCCCAGGTCCTTCGCATCTCAAAGCAGAAACACAAGGGAAGACCCAGCCAGGGCCCTGCTTTGGCCCCCAGGGCACAGAAACCCCTCGTGGGATTGCACAGGGGCTGGTGCCCACCCCAGCAGGGACCTGAACCACCCCTCCCCTGCTGCACCCAACCCACCCAGCTCAGGGGGCAGGGGCTGTTCCTGCCTTCAGGGGGAGAGCAGGGCTCCCACTGACCCCTGCCCTGGGTACGGGGAGGGTGCTGAGCAGCTACCTCATGGCCTTAGGCCCCAAGAACCCCCTTGATCCCCAACATCTACAGGGACCAGGCATATCCCAAGCCCAGCTCCCCAGGGGCTCCCCCCAGACCCGTGCCTCTTTCTCTGCCCCCAGCGTGGTTTTGGGCACAAACTCTCACCTCCAGAGCAGCCCCAGCCATAAACCCTGGGCCCAGCTGTGCTGCACGAAGCCCCCCTGCTGCCATGAGATGGGGCTGGGGCCTGGCTTTGTTTCCACATTCCCTGGGGCAGCCACCTCCATAACCCCATTGCCAAAGGCTGCCCCGGAGCAGGCTCTGCTCCACTGCCCAACACTGCTCCTATTTATCCCACAGCAGGAGCCGCGGTGCTGCTGCCCCTTGGCTCTGTAATTTATGTTCCTAAGTTATGAATGGAGCTTTTGAGTTGGTGGAAATAAAACCTCCCTGCTTCCCAAGGCGGCAGAACCAGGAGCTGGGGGCCTGGCGCTGGAGGTACCAATGACACCAGCGCAGCTCTGGGAGAGGTTCACCATTTATTTCACCTTGTTTGTGACGCTGTGGAACACACACAAAAACCCCAAACATGGACGAGGAAGACAAAAAAAGAGAGAAGAAGAAAATAAAAGAAAAGAGCTGCATTGAGGAATGGCGAGGAGCTGTTCTCCCTCCCGGGTCCTCAGCATGGGAGGGGGAACCAGCAGGAATGCTCTGCCCAGGGGCCCAGCGTGGCCATGGGGCCTGGGCCCGCGCATGGCTCTGGTTCACAGTCACATTGGTCAGTCCATGCATCCATGCATCCATCCCTGCGCCAGCCCTCGGGTACCCTGCAGGGAGCCGCGGTCCCATCCCAGCCCCTCGCACCCTCCCAGCACAGGAGGGGAGGACACAGCAGCGTTAAACCAAAGTAGAAGCAGCAGCAGGACTGGACCCCAAGCAAGGGAAGAGCTGAGCTCCCCCCGCCACCAGCAGCGTGTTTGCTGGTTTAAGACTTCCTAAAGGGGGAAGGAAAGAAAAACCCACCCCAACCCAAAACAACCCCGGAAAGCAACCAAGGCTGGGTCTAACGGAGCCGATGCTCCACGGAGCAGGTTATTGCTTTGCGTGTCCCAGGCAGGAGGGCATGGCTGGAACAGAGCCCCCCCCTGCCTCTTGCAGCAGCCAGACAGGCCTGGACCCCCCCAGCAGTGGGGGAGCAGGGCCCTGGGGCTGGGGCAGGGTGGGTGGTGTGTTCTGGTGTGGTGGGTACAGCAGTGCCGTGGGCTCAGCCCAGGGGGAGGCGAGGAGAGGGGCAGCGCTGCTCAACAGCAAGAGCCCTTCAGCCCTGCGGGATGGGAGGGGATGGCAGGAGCCCACCCATGCAGGGGACATTCAGGGCTCAGGGGGGCTGGTGGGGATGGTCCCAGCCAGGCCCCCATGAGAGAGGCCAAGCCTGGGCTGCAGCCTCCAGCTGGCTGGGCAAGGGAAGCCAGGAAAGCTGTGATTGTACAGGGAAAGGCCACCAGAGCCCCCAGGATGAGGCGCAGCAGCACCCTGGCATTCAATGCTGGTGAGATGATGGCTGGGAGCAAACCTGCTTCCTCCAGCTGCGCCAGGAGCCGTCCCTGGGGACCGGTGGCCTCTTCTCTCCTCACCTCTCCCTCCCTGTGCCAGCCCAAGCCCAAAGGGAAGGAGAAGTAGCAGCAAGAGAGACTGAAGGATTGGGCTGGCACCGGGCGGGCTCCATGGCAGAGCCACTGGGATGCTGGCTGTGAAGGGCACAGAGCTGGGCTGAGGGAGGCAGGGCCGGCTCCGGGCCCCACACAGGGCTGAGGAGGAGATTGTAAAAGCAACAAGAGGAGGAGGTGATGATCTCCAGGAGGGCAGAGCTGCCCTGACCCCATGGCTGAGGCTGCTGGGGAGTGTGCGTGTGCAACAGGGCAGCGGCCGGGCCCCATGCGAGGAGGTGCAGGAGCTGCATGGACCTGGCTGCAGCCCCAGGCTGTGGGGCAGCCCTCGGTGGTACCAGCCCAGAGCGGAGCCGCGAGGGGTCCCCATGGGAGAGTCCCGGGTTCCTGAGCTCCGACCCCAAAACCCGCGACTCACCCAGGGCTGAGGGCAGAGCGGGAGCAGAGGGTGCCCCGGTCCTGCCCTGCAGCCACCCCGCTCCTCTCCTCCCACCGCACCGGGGGCACGTCCCACCCCTAATACTGGTACAAAACAAACCAAACGCAAGAGGAAAAGCTCACCCGCATCGTGCCGGACCCGCACACTGCAGAGCCTGACCCGGGGGAGCCAAGGGATGGGGAGACCCCCCCCCAGAAACCGCTCAGAGCAAGAGAAGGAGGGAAAAGGCCGCTCAAAGACTCGCCTTAACTCCAATCTCAGCTCCGAGAGCAGCAGGGAGAGACGAGCACCCCCGGCCGGAGAGGATGCGGTGCGAGGAGATGGGGAGAGGCAGGAGGTGCGGAGGGGGCCATGGCTTCCGTGTGCAACGGGCGGGTCACGGGGGAAGGATCCGCAGCTGCAGCCTCAGAGTCCTTCCCTGCCACAGTCTGGATTGGCTCCGCTTAGATCCGGGGCAGCAGCTTCTCGATGAACTCCTTCACTGCCATCATCTCCTGCAGAGAGCAGAGCCCATCTCTGTGAGCACAGGGCCTCCCCGAGTGAATCCAGGAACAAACACATCCCGCATCTCCTGGACTCTGCATTGTCCCCATCCTCCCTCACCCCCCATGCTGGGATCGGTCCCAAAGGTCCCGGCCCTTCTCTCTGCTCGAGGCACTGACCTGAGGACAGGAACTGTGCATCACCCCGGGGTAGGTTTTGAACTGGACCTTGGTGGGGGTGACAACAGATTTCAGCTTCTCAGCAGTGAGGGCCCCGAAGCGGACGGGGATCATGGGGTCCATCTCCCCGTGGCACTGCAGGATGGCAATGTCCTTGTTCACACCGTTGTTTGCTGCCTGCAGCGAGGAAGGAAGGGCTCAGGAGAGAGAATACACAGCAGGGAACAGGGCCAGCGCTCTGCATCCCTGAGCAAACCACAGCAAACTCCAGATGGGAAAATCCCCCCCCCTCCCAAGCCCTCCCTATGGACACGAGTGGAGCACGAGGTACCTGCGGGAAGGCTTTGTGCAGCGGGAGCCAGCAGCTGAGCGCCACGATGCCGGCCAGTTGGTGCTGGCAAGTGAGAGCCGTGTACAGCGACAAGGCACCACCCTGGGGGGGGGGGGAAGCTCCATCAGGGATCCAGGCAGGATCTGCAGCCCTGCATCCACCCATCTCCTCTTGGAGGACCCCAACCCATCAGCCTGCTGCACATCAGCCCCGCTCACCTGTGAGAAGCCCCCCAGGATGATGCGGTTGGGTGGGATCCCATTCTTCATCTCGTGCTCGATGATTGCTTTAACTGGAAGAAGACAGCGGGTTGGGATCGCAAGGGAACAGAAAGGAAGGAGAGGTGGAAGGAAGGCACCCGCTTCCATCCCAGTGACGGAGGGGCACCCTCAGTGCTTCCCCCTCCCCAAAGCTTCTTACTGTTTTCTGCAGCTTTCTTGATTCCAGCTTCATCCTCAGGTGCATCCGGAGTCAACCCCATGAGGTCAAACCTGGGAGAAGCACCAGGGTCAGCCCCAAACGGATCCCAACATGCAGGGTGTGGGGAGGAAGGAGCTGGGTGCACTCTGCCCTCCCCCTGACTCCCACAGGGCGGTGCATTTTGACCCTTCAGTGCCCCCCATCCCTCTCACCCTCCTAAACACCCCCCCAAAAAGGGTCCCACCCACCCCTGCCACCCCAAGCACTGACCAGGACGGCATCACCATCTTCATGTTGAGGGTCACGGGGATGCGGGGCCTGCAGAGGGAATGGTTTGGGTGGTTTAGTTCAAGTGCAGGAGAAGCAATGCGGAGCCGAGGGGAGCGGGGTGACCCTGCTGCAGGGGTGATCCCAAGCAGATCAGTGCCCCCAGAGCCAGCCCAGCCCAAGGGGACAGAGGAGGAGCTCCGGTGCTTTTGGCTCTTACAGCCACCAGGGAGAGGTGGAGGACAGGAGGAGGGAGAAAAGAGCCTCAGAGCAGCAGCTCCTGTGCTCATCAGCTCTGTGAGGATGCCAGAGAACGGGGCCCTGCATAAACTGGCCACAGCAGGAGAGCAAACCTCACCGCACAGCCCCGCGGGCAGGTCAGGGCAGAGGCCACCCACCCCCAAACAACCCTGGCAGCATGAACGGGTGCCAGAGCCCACCCAGACCCCTTCCCAAAGCAAGGCCAAGCACTTACGCGTGGGGGCAAATGTATTTCACATAGGGCAGGCGGATGGAGGAGAGTGCATCAGCCCAGCTGTGCCTGTGGAGAGAGAAGAGCAGAGAAGGAGTCCATGCCTGCCTCAGGCTGGTGAAGGTGAGGGGCTCCCCAAGGACAGGTTTTCTCCAAGGCTGCTGCCCCCCTGCCCCTGTTTGGATGTTGTTTCAGCAGCTCCTGCCCACCCTGGCAGCCTGAACCCCATTGTGGACCCCAGCACGCACCTCTCCTGCAGCAGGGCAGAGGCAGCACACAGAGCCCTGTGGCTCCATGAGCAGGAGGGGAGGGAGAACACCCTGTGCTACTGCTGTTATCTCCCCCTGGCCTTGCCCATCAGAGAGATGCACTTGCACAGACCCTGCCCATCTGCCAGCCCTCGCAAGGACTGGAGAGCCACAGCGTGCATC